CACTGGCTTGAAAAAGAACTGTGCTGTCCCGACGTCATCCTCACGACATATGGAACGCAAACGTATGGTCAATACTGGGGGGGGGCTCTCTGCGAGCGGGAGTGTACAGTAGATCTGGATAAACCAACAGGTACATCTTGGAGCTTTCTCTCATGTAAGCAAGTGCCAACTGCCAAGAAATGCTACATTCAAGTGTAAATTAAAATAAAGGAAATAACCTCCCATTATCAGAGCCGAAAGTGTTCACTCCTTCAGGCCTCTTTTGTGTCCTACAAGAGTTCCCTTCCTCTCTTTTGCTAAAGTCCAAGTCCTGAGCCTTTGTCGTTGCTGAAGATGCTGCGGTAATTTGTTTAGGAGTAGGAATGTTAACACCCAATGCCAACTCCAGTCATCTCATTTGCTCTTCCTCCGTTTCCACTGCAGTTCCATTTTGATGCAGTATCGGTCACTTCCTGTCCTACCCTGAATTGTGGCTGCTTGTGTTCCTCCAAGAGCTGCTTGTGTAGCTTTTTTTTAACCTACCTCATAGCAATGTTATGAGGCTGAATGTTAGCTTGTGAAGGTCTTTGAAATAGTCTTCCGAGGTGATGTTTACGCTATACACCGCTGGCAGCAGCCCGGAGGGGATGTGTAGCAACACTCCAGGTGAAAAGCAAGCTGCATCCACATTGCAGGGTAGAGTTATGAGGGAGGAAATGCTCTGGCAGGGAGAAGCAGCTGGGAACGGCTGAGTTTTTCCCTAATGCAGAACAGGACACTACTGCTGAAAATAGCAGTGTGGGAGGGAAGGGTAAATACAGAGCCATGTAGGATGTGCACTTGCGTACGTACCCACCCCTTTTGGCATGTCTTTACTTGCCTGAGCTGTCGCACTGGCCACATTGTTATTCAGACCTGTGCCAGCAGCCTGCGTGGGTATGTACTCACATGTCCCCAAAAGAAGCCTGAGTGTAGACATTCCTTGTAAGGCATTGCAAGGAAAGGAACTTACTAGTATCTTCTTCTCTAGCATTGGCTAGAGCAGGAGTAGGTGATCATTTTTGATGGGGGCCACTCCAAGATTTTGGGAAGTGGTCAAGGGCCGCACTCTTCCATGATATTAATAGAGGAAGTGCAGGGTCTGGGATGGAGGTTGGTTGCAGAAGGGAGTTTGGGGTAGGGGATTGGGGTGCAGGAGGGAGACTGGAGTCTGGGAGGGAGCTGGGATGAAGCAGGCAGTTGTGACCTAGGGCAGGGGACTGGAGGGCAGGTTTTGGGATGTTACCTAGGGTAGGAGGGGATTGTGATCTCGGGCAGGAGATTGGGGTGTCAGATCTGGGGGGGGTATGGATGCAAGAGGGGGGCAGAGGGTTTGGGCATGTTGAGTGGGGTAGATTGGGGTGCAAAAGGCTGGCTTTGGCCAGGAGACTTACCAGCCAGCAGCCAAACCTGCCTGCCTGCAGAGCTAAAGGATGCAGCGCTTAAAACGTTTCCCAGCCAGCCAGTCAGCCTGCCTGCCTGGCCATGTGCTTGTGTGAATAACTAAGTCAAGGGGAGGGGTGGTTGTTCTTCTTGTCTGCCTGTTATTCAGACCGGCCAGTGGAATTGTGCTTGGGGCGGGGACAGCTCCTGAAGCTCCCTCCCCCCACCCCCGCACTGGATTACAGTTTTGAAGCAGAAACGGGGCCCGGCAGAAGCATTTCTGAGCGGCCTGTGGGAAAAGCAAGGGAGCCTGCCCGGATCTCCCCGCTGCCTCCGCAGGCCGGATCCGGTGACTCAGCGGGCCGGATTTTCCTCAGGCCTGGGCTAGAGGGCACTGTCAGCTGCTACAAAGCATGGCCCGGTCTTTCTGGAGCCCAGCCCTGCTCAGTTTGATTTTCCAGCTCTGTCATTTTCAGAATAATTCATGGTTGTATTCTTAGGGTTGGGCTTTCCAGGGACGGGATGTCAGGGTGTGGCTGAACCAGCCAGCCCTGCGGGAGAGGCACTGTGCCCGTGGTCTTCTGCTACTGATGTGGTCAAAAGTTGGCATTTAAATGGCTTTCGGGAGGCGAATGGAGCAATGGGAAGCATTAAACTGTGGGAAAGTCTCCCAGCCGGAGTAAAGGAAACTCCCTTGGGACAGTTTGTACCGGCCTGGTGGCTGCACTGCAGGGACCAGTCTTGCGTGGGTTCCCTGGCTACTGACGAGCTGAGCCAAGGCCTAAGGGCTTTTTTCAAGCGCTAATGTGCGTGAATTTCATGCCCTCAGTGCTGCCGTTTCAGTTGGCTTGGCTGCAGGCTCAGCATGTAACAGGGTGTTAGTGATGTCACTGCGGCTTTTGGCAGCTGAAAGGGGGAGAGAGAGTTTCAATGTAACTTTCAGTTCCAAAGAAATAGAGCAAAATCGACAGGCAGCCCCGATGATCCAGTGCTTCGTGGAAATGAGCTAGCGGAGCCTCATGACACCTTGGAACAGGCAGGGGCCTTTACCCCCATTTTAAAGATGGGAACCTGGGGCACAGAGAGACGAGGGGGGTTGCATAGGGCCACGTGGGGAGTCTCTGGCAGAGCTGGGATTGGAATACGCGAGTTCCTGAGTTTCAGACCCCTGCTCTATCCAAGAGCCCACTAGAACCCTATAATATGGGGCCATGTGACATCCTCCACTGTGATCTATCAAGCAAAAGCCACTGCCTCCAGACGGAGCGGCTAAAAGTGTGTGCAGAGAGAGAATGAACAGGCTTGCAGAACTGCAGGGAGACTGCAGAATGGAGCATAACGTGCGGGAAGGGATAGCAGGTTTCAGAACCCAAGGAGCCGATAATCCAGTGTCTAATTGCCCATTCGCGAAACTACGCTTGGTAGCCTGTTAGTCTTGGACATCAATACCTCTGTATTTTGTCACCCTCCCTCCCCACTGGGTAACCCCCTTGCTTTGCATTGCTTTACTCCTGGGATGCACGCAGGGTGGGCTTGTTGCAAATTTTGCTTCACTTTATTTGAAAGTAGCTTTAACTGTCGATTTTTCCTTTCCTTCCTTTTCACTGATCCCAGATTGGCTCGAGTGATTCCCGAAGCGCCTGGGACGTCAGCCTTTTCCCTAGAATGCCAGTTTCAGAAACGGCGCGAGTTAGCGAGACATGTCCCCAGCTGGTTTTAAACTTTTTTGATTTTGAGCTCCAGCAGTTCTGGAGGTAGCGGCTGCTAAGCTGTTGGCATCGAGGAAGCCAGTTTTAGACCCTGAATGGGAGGTTCCCCTTCGAGGGACAGACCCTCACAGTATTCCAGACATGGGTGTCGCTTTCGTGTGTCCAGTGTCCTGCCTCAGACCCGGCCTAGTGGTGTTATCTGCTTGCAGGGGCAAAAGGACACGCGTCCAGTCCTGGTGGCACATTGACTCTTACTGTTGTGTCAGATCTAGGGCAGTGATTCTCGGACTGAGGCTTCAGTGCCTCTCCTGCAGCAAAAATCTATTCAAACCCGGTGCGATTTAATTCAGAACCAATTAGGAGGCTTTTCCTGGGTTATTGACCAATTGTAGTTGATAAAATCATGCTTGGGCATTTTGCTGTGAGAACAATATATACACACGCGCCATCTATCGCTTTCCCTGCCATGACTGTAGCACTCCTGGTGCATGAAACACTGAACTCTTGGGGCTCTTTTGGATCGTGCTAATTGCTAATTTGGCTCCTGAACCACTGAGCTCTGAGTGTCGCTGCTCCAGTGATATTTTCACAGCATGGTTCTCCTTAAGTGCAGCAGGTCCTGGATCTTGGACCACATACCCCCTGGGCTCCATTTGGCAGGCAGCCTGCTGCACTTTAAACGACCCGTCGGGGTTATTTTTTCCTTTCTTGGAGAATTGCTCGGGGGTGGAGTGAAAAACCACAGGAGCTGGTTCTGTGGATTTCACAACATCAGGGCTCTGCTGCTGCCCTGTCTTGTGTTGTTCCTGGAGGAGGTTTGTCCTGGCTTTCGAGGTTTTAATTTCTGCCCGCTCTCTCCTTTAGCCAAAGTCTGTTTCATCCCAGATGCCCCGCTCTCCTGCTGCTGAACAATATCGTCTGTGCCTAGTCCACGACCTCTTTGCTTGTCAGCTGCAGCCATCCCTGCTGGGTTATATAAACACAAAGCCCCTCTTCCCTTTCAAGGAGAGACACTCTTGATCTGTCACTGCTTGACCTGTCTAAGGTACTGTGGCGTAATCCCAGAGGTCAGCATTGAGGGCTGGCCTAAAGCTCCAGTCTCTTGTGGCCAAAGGGCAGCAGCTTTATGTCCCTCTGCGGGTCGTGTTCACATACTAACGCGGCAGGACCTAGCCTGAATGCAGCTCCATTCCCGGAGAAGGTCTGAGGAGATTCCACTGAGTGGTGGGGGGTTTCTGCCTTTTCTTACTCGGTCCTCACTAGAGGGGTGTGTATGGGGGGAGGGGCTCTCCCTGCTGTGCTAGATGGGATGGCAATCCAGGCTAGGTGGAAGGTGGGTCTTGGGGATTCATTATCTAACCCAGAGAGTTCCAGAACTGCCAAGGTTGGGAAGCCCCGTGTAATGAAATCAAGTAGTTGAAAGTCCATCGACTACTTGACTAGTCGCTTACATCCCTACCCAGAACAGAAAACTTGTTTCCTAATTTCCTTTGAGACTGACTCCTCAGCCCAGGTAACCCTTTTGGGTCCCTCTACTGGGGCCTCTTCCTGCGGAAAGGTTTATGGAGCACAGTTTACAGCTCCGTATGGCTAAGTTGCAGATTTCAAGGACCAGGCATTTGGAACCCCAATAGACCGCTTTGAACTTCCAGCCTTATTTGCAGGAAAAGTGGGGCAGTCCTTTTCTTGGCCTGAACAAAGGAAATCGTCAGGTCACTCGTTTTCCGTTTTCTTTAGTGATCTGTTAGTGCCACCTGAAGGAAACAGCCTCTGTTAATTAACATTCCTTGCAGCTATTTTGAAAAGCAAATAGCTGCATTGCATTTGTTCACATCTCCGCAGCTTCGGTGCCAGTCACATTTTCACAGCTTTGTGAACTTTTCTTTTCAGTGCAAGAAGAAACACACACTAGTGTGCCCAGACTTTTCCAAAACCGGCATCTGCCCAAAGGGCACCCTCTGCAAACTGCAGCACCCCTGGAGAAAGCAGCACCAGAGACAGCCCAATACTTCAGATCCCTCTGGCCAAGGCAGGTCATCGCCAGGGTGGAAGAGGCTCCAAAAGGAGGCAGTGAGGTAAGCGGGAGTTAAAACACAGGAAACAACGTTCTTTCTTCTGTGTAAATCCCTTGAGTCTGTGATTTGTAATGGACCAATTTGGGCTCCTCTTCATCTGTATGGTGTGAGGTCTTTACCTGGAGTGTCAAGAATCTGGCTATAGCCTAGTTCTTTGGGGTGTTTTTGGCTAAGCCAATTTTCCGAGTGTCATCTGGTGTGGAAAAAGTAAGTAAATAAGGAAAAGTTATTTACATGTTCCCATAACATAAGAACTAGGGTAGCATAAAATGAAATAGGTAGGAGGTTTAAAACAAGGAAAAGGAAGTTTTACCTTACGCAGTGCGCAGTCAACCTGTGGAACTCCTTGCCAGAGGATGTTGTAAAGACCAGGACTTTAACAGGGTTCAAAAAAGAACTAGATAGATTCATGGAGGTTAGGTCCATCAATGGTTATTAGGTGTCCCTGGCCTCTGTTTGTCTGGAAATGGATGAGTGGAGAGGGATCACGTGAGGATTCCCTGTTCTGTTCACTCCTTCGGGGGCATCTGGCATTGGCCACTGTCGACAGACAGGATACTGGGCTAGACGGAGCTTTGGTCTGGTCGTTCTTATGTATCAATTGAGACTTGCTCTGGTACCTGAAATCAAGCTGAGCCTTTCAAGTTCCGACCATAACAGCCCACGTGACAGATTCCAATGTCAGGACATTTTGCCCAAGGTACCACAAGACTCCAGAGACTACATGTTGCAGGGCTGTTTGAGGTGCTGGGCTAGGAATTACGTCTAACCGTGGAGTATATGCATGCTGAAAATGCGTTTATAGAAGATGTACAGCAAACTGGGGCTGCTCCCATGGCAGATCTTCAGTAGATCCTCTGAGGAAAGTCGAGTCTATGTTTGGATGGAAGACCCCCAAGAAAGCTGTGCATGGAACAGCTACTGGGCAATAGGGGACCACACTTCTCTTGGTGTCAGGGCTGGGTCCTAACAGGCATTGTGCTGCTCGAGTTGCAGGAGAGATGTCAAACTGGCCCCCAAGTGCCTGGAGCCATGCACCTGGCTTTTCTGACAAGGGTTCAGGGGTATTGGCTTGGACGTCCTGGCTATCTTCTGTCCACTTGTGAGCTTGTAGCTCCAGGTGGAGACAGTCGTCTTGGCTTTCCTGCCCTTGACCTGTGAGTTGTTGGGCTGTTACTGGCTCCATCCCTGGAGAGGGGCTTCACTTCATCAATGGGGGACGTGCTCCCTGGGTGTCTGCGTGGCTTATATTCCGCAGTTGGGCACGCTGGCATCTTCCCCTGGAAGGCTCTCCAGAGGGGTCCTGGCCCTGAGCAGAGCTGGCTAGTTCCCAACCTGCCCAGGACGTTCTTCATGTGGATCAGTCTCTGGGCTCCTGATGTTCGTAGCTCTCCCGCATTTAGGACTGAGGCGAAGTTTGCACCAAGTCAAGCTGAGGGCGAAGGTCTACGTTAAACCCGCCATGCCATGCACTGCGACTCGAACCCAGCTCTCCCGCAGGCCCGTGCGGGATAGCAGTGTTAGACCCTGATCACTCCGTGTTCCAAGCTAAGAGAAGGAACAAGGCGCAGGCAGAGATCTGGGGCAGCCGGCTGCCTCCCTCCTTCCCACGCAGAGGCAGCGGTTAGGGGCGGAGGAGGTGGAAATATAATAGGTGTGCAGAATGCCTTTGATGTTGTGCTGGGTACTTTGTTAATCACATCAGCAACTCTCAGCATAAAATGACGATCTGATTCTTATAGAGGTCATTGTCCTATGTGCCCTTGGGGGTCTATTGATTATTCAATTTTAATAATGCTGTGTGGCTGCAAGCTACCTAACTGGGCAATCCACCAAGCCTGGCACCCAGAGGTTTCGCCTGTGTTATTAACTCCTTGATTTGTAATAGGGGGGAGAATTCTTAACCCTTTATCAGCCGGGGCCTGGGCATTAGCGGGAGGATTCTCTGCATCTTGGGGTCTTTGAACCATCGTTTCAAGGACTTCGATATCTGAGATATAGGTGAGAGGATTATTCTAGGAGTGGGTGGGTGAGATTCTGTGGCCTGCACTGTGCAGGGGGTCAGACTAGAAGATCAAAATGGTCCCTTCTGACCTTAAAGTCTATGAGTCGGCACAGTGCTGAACGCTTCCACCCCAGTGCGGAAGCTCCAGAATCGGCCGCAGCCAAGAAGCCTGCCTTGTCTTTTGAGGTACTGCGGTGCAGGGAGTTGGCTGGCTGGTAGGCAGGGCTAGTGGCTAAAGCACTTGCCTTTCCTTGCAGAGCAGAAGGTTTGAGCTGAGCCGGAGGACGTATGAGTTGGAGATTTTTGTCTCCGTACCATCGCTGGGCATGTCTCCCCCTCACAATACGCAGCACAGCTGGGCACGGGGGAGCAGACTCAGCTCAGGGGACTGACCCCACGTGGAAAATGAGCTGCTTCCCCTCTGGCAAGTCGTCTCCTTGGACCAGAACTAGGGATGTAAAAGAGAAGTTGGTTAGTCGACCACCTGATGAGCCTAGGCTTGTTGAGTAGTCGAGTCGACTACTCGCTTCCCCCACCCCTTGCTGCCTCGGTATCAGAGGCAGCAAGAGGAGGGGGGAGTAGGAGCCGGTGCTGGGGGCAGCTCTCAGAAGCAGCAGTGCTGGGGAGGCTGGGGCCCCCTGCAGACAGGGGCTGCTGGCTCAGTCCCAGCCTGGCTCAGTCCCAGTTTGCGCCGCTTCTAGGAGCTACCCCCGCTACGCTTCTGTGGTCTAAATGTAGAGGAGCCAGGCTGCCTGCGTGCCCAGCTCTTAGAACGTTTAAACTGCAGAGCCCCAGTGGGGGCAGCTCCTTCTGAGCGCTCTTCCTTATCGACTAATCGACACGTTGTATCAACTACACGATCACCCAGTTACCCGCCTCTTCATCCTTCACCAGAGCCGAGGACAGCTCCAGGCCAGTCTCAGGAAGCTCGTACGGGCCTAGGGTGCCAGGGACAGTATGGTCTCGCTGTTTTCTCGCACTCCCCCTCTGGTCCGTCTGTATCTATCTCTGGTCTCAGGCCTACACTGAGAGCTCCTTGGGGCAGAGCCTGCACAGCACCTGGCACCGTGGGCTCCCAGGTGCAGTGGTAATGCCAGTAACAAGAGCCAGAGGATTGTCAGCCGAGGGACCCTGCAGCGCCAAACCCTCTCAGCAGAGACCAGACAGAGCCCGCCCCGATCACGTTCAGGGCTAAGTGCAGGAGTCGCTTCTCTTCCTGAAATGTGGTGTCTAAAGGGGGGGGGGTTCCAAAGAGGCTGGAGAGAGGCTGGTCTCAGTGATGGCTGATGGCAGAACAAGGAGCAATGGGCTCAAGTTGAAGTGGGGGAGGTCTAGGTTGGATATTAGGAAAAATGATTTCACTAGGCGGGTGGTGAAGCACTGGGATGGGTTCCCTAGGGAGGGGGTGGAATCTCCATCCCTAGAGGTGGTTAAGTCCCGGCTTGACACAGCCCTGGCTGGGATGATTGAGTTGGGATTGGTCCTGCTTTGGGCAGGCGGCTGGACTTGATGACTCCTGAGGTCCCTTCCAGCCCTGGGATTCTGTGATCTTCCTAGGCCTGACCCTCACTTGGGGGCCAAAAGCGGGAATGCAGAGGGCAGGGCAACAAGCAAATCGTGTGAGGAACAGCAGCAGCTGTGGAGATATTGTCCTTAGGGCAAACGCCGTTCCGCCTAGTGGCTCCTGACTTCCGACTGCCGGTCTGGGTCCTGCCAGAGACCCACGTAGCCCGGTGTCCTGACTTCCGACTGCCGGTCTGGGTCCTGCCAGAGACCCACGTAGCCCGGTGTCCTGACTTCCGACTGCCGGTCTGGGTCCTGCCAGAGACCCACGTAGCCCGGTGTCCTGACTTCCGACTGCCGGTCTGGGTCCTGCCAGAGACCCACGTAGCCCGGTGTCCTGACTTCCGACTGCCGGTCTGGGTCCTGCCAGAGACCCACGTAGCCCGGTGTCCTGACTTCCGACTGCCGGTCTGGGTCCTGCCAGAGACCCACGTAGCCCGGTGTCCTGACTTCCGACTGCCGGTCTGGGTCCTGCCAGAGACCCACGTAGCCCGGTGTCCTGACTTCCGACTGCCGGTCTGGGTCCTGCCAGAGACCCACGTAGCCCGGTGTCCTGACTTCCGACTGCCGGTCTGGGTCCTGCCAGAGACCCACGTAGCCCGGTGTCCTGACTTCCGACTGCCGGTCTGGGTCCTGCCAGAGACCCACGTAGCCCGGTGTCCTGACTTCCGACTGCCGGTCTGGGTCCTGCCAGAGACCCACGTAGCCCGGTGTCCTGACTTCCGACTGCCGGTCTGGGTCCTGCCAGAGACCCACGTAGCCCGGTGTCCTGACTTCCGACTGCCGGTCTGGGTCCTGCCAGAGACCCACGTAGCCCGGTGTCCTGACTTCCGACTGCCGGTCTGGGTCCTGCCAGAGACCCACGTAGCCCGGTGTCCTGACTTCCGACTGCCGGTCTGGGTCCTGCCAGAGACCCACGTAGCCCGGTGTCCTGACTTCCGACTGCCGGTCTGGGTCCTGCCAGAGACCCACGTAGCCCGGTGTCCCGACTTCCGACTGCCGGTCTGGGTCCTGCCAGAGACCCACGTAGCCCGGTGTTCTGACTTCCGACAGCCGGTGACCAGAAGGAATGAACAGAGCAGGGCAACTTATCTCCAGATCCATCCTCTGTCCCCTCTAGGGCACCTGGAGCATGGGGCTACATCCCTGCTCCTCTTGGCCAATAGCCATTGATGGGCCCTCTCCTCCACAGACTTACCCACTGCTTTTTTGATCTCCCCCAGCTTTGCTCATTCTCCTGGTCAGGGAAGGGCTGGCACCAGCACTGGGCAGAACGCCTGGCCAAGTCCTGGCCCAGCCAGTGCCTGGCAAGAGATCACAGAGGGCCGGTCTTGCCTGCAGTGTTTGCCATGAATCCCAGGCAGTGAGAGAGCTGAAGAGATGCCAGGAAGGTAGCGCCGAGGATGGTCCAGATGGACCTTTGGTCTGGCCCAGTCTGGCCGTTCTCCTGTAAGAGGCCGACCGAGGACGCTGACCCAGCAGAACAGAAGGGACAGTAGCAGTGCAGGGTTCCCCTTCCTTCTAGTGAGCACTCAGTCGCCTCTTAGCCTCTCTGCTAGCGCTGCCCACGAGGGTGCCCTTCCGCAGCTGCACTGACTGGTGCCTTTTGCGGTGGGACCATCCCCATAGGCCACTACTGAGTCTGCCCTTGCTAAGGGGCTCTGGCCCAGGGCTGTCCAGCCCTGCATGAGGAGCCATTTTAAGGGCAGAGCTACTAGGCCTGACTGAAATAGAAGGGAGCGGGGTGGGATGACACTGAATCCGGCCACAGCCCTCTTGGCAGGACCTGCTTTGGCCAGCCCTGTCAGCAGCCTGTCGTCTGGGCCCATCAGCGCTGCGGCTCCAGTTCTTCCTGGCTCCATCTCCATGTGCCTTTCCCTGTTGCCGTTGGCATCGCTTCTCTGGGATGTTTTCACAGCCGCCTCCCAGAGATACCTGTGAGCCAGCAGAGCCGCAACGCACAACGGCGCGGTGCTCCGGGGGAGAATCTTCCCACCCAGCAACCTCCCGGGGCAGGTCAGCAGGGCGAGACCAATGGGGATCAGCCCAGCACACAGAGCCGGGCAGGCAGCCCTTCCCCACTGCGTATGTGGTGGTGGAAGAGCCTCATTTTACCCCTGCTTTATAGGCGCTCCGCTCCCCATGCCGGTATCCCGGGCCGAGGGCCCTCGCGGCGGGTCAGTGACCAGCCTGCTCGCTGCCTAGGGACGGATGGCGCAACACCGCGGGGAGTCCAGCGACTGGGTGTGCAGCCTTCGCGTTTCTGTCCCACACAGGTTCTTCTGCCACAGTCATTCCCCTCTCCCCGCCCCCGATCAGTGCTTGTTCCCTGGCCAGAGCCCCAGGTGTCCCAGCAGCACCAGGCCCGGCCTGCGGCGGGTCTGTAAACCTGTCTGGGGTGACAGGCCGGGCTTGGAACGACACGTGGCCCTCAGCCCCCAGGCCAGTGAGCTGCAAAATATTCCCTTGCTCCTTTAGGCGGGAATGCGAAGCCCAGAGCTGGCCAGCGGGGAGGAGACCTCTGCAGGGAGCCTCCGCCTGAGGGAGAGACACTTTAAACTGCTCCCGCTTTCCCAGGGCTGGCCTTACCATGAGGCGAACTGCGGCGGCCGCCTCAGGTGCCAGACTGGGGGGGGAGGGGGCGCCACTTGGACCCAGAGCATAGAACATTGTGCTGGTGCATATGGGGGCGTCATTTGAGCTCCCTGCCTCAGGTGTCAAAATGTTGTGGGCCGGCCCTGCGCTTTCTCTCTCGATTAGCACCACGAACGTAGCTGTCGCTAGATAAAATATCCCATTAGCCTGGGGTGCGTTGAGGGGCTGGAGACGGCTCAGGCCTTGGTGGGCCTGGCTCCCCTCATTCTGTCTGTCAAGAGCCTCACACTCCGGCCCTGTTGCCTTAACCCTGCCCCCTTCTCCCCTCCTGCCTGGCTCCGAGCGGTGACCCAAGCAACCGTAGATGATTCCGGCCACGGGCTCGGTAGCAAATACCTCAAGGGCAGGGGATGTAAATGGGAATCCTCTACTGAGCTGGCATCCTTCAACACAGGAAGGATAAAGGGGGCCCCGAATGTTGGGAGGTTGGGGGGCCAGCCAAAGAGGAACTAGCGGTGAAATGGATCCGACTGTGGGGTTGTCCTCCAGATGGTGGGCCCCGCACGCCGTCACTCGGGACCTGAAGACTGCAGACGGCAAAGCCTTGGGCACTAGAACCTCCAGACAGTTCTTGCCTGTTGTTAGAAGAGTTCAGTCTCCTCCGTCCCTGTGGGCCGAGTCTGCCCTCGCGGCAGTGTTCTGTGCTGGCTTTGCTCGCTGAGTTGGGCTGTTGCTGTTTTTCAGGGGGGAGGCAGCCCATCTCCAGGCTGACGGCGAGGTTCCTGGCCCTTCCAGTGCGGAGCAGGGAGTGACGCTTCGGAGAGACGCAGACGCGCCAGGATGCAGCAGACTGCAGAAGCTCCCATCTTTCATCTCTCTCCAGTCCCCCACCTCTCCGAGCGAGGGGCCACGCCCGGCGGAAAGAGACAAGTCGGGGGAGGAGACAGGTACAAGGCTGTTTCTCTGTCAGGACTCCCTGCTGTTCACCAGCCGACGCTGGGTGAACCGTGTCCCCATCGGCCCTTGTCCAGCCGCCTGCGCCCTGGGCACTGTACACCCTGCAGGACAGGGACGGTCCAGTGGTGTGACTCCACAGAGGGAGCAGAGCTGGGGTGGTGCAGTCGTATATCCCAACTCAGCGGTGCTGGTAGCCATCGGGCTAGTAGCTCCAGCTCTCCCGTGCCCCTGACTCCTGGCTTTGGCTCCTCCGGCTCATCCACCCCTACGACGCCCAGCTCTGCTGTGCACCGCAGTCCTGTCCTGCAGTAGCTCCCGTGCTCTGTTGGCCATGGGAGAAGATGCTGTTAGCCAGCAAATGGCATGCTCGTGTTCTGATGGGGCCAATGGTCCATGAGGGGCCATCAAATACATTCGCCTGAAGCCTGAGCCAGGGCTAGGCCCTGCATGGCCAGAGAGGAAAGGCACAGGCCTCTGCCTCCCAAAAACTAGCCCCCCTCTCACTTTGAATGGTGCCCCCAAGCTGCAGTCCCATCTCTGTGGTCACACCACCAGCCCCACCTGCAAAACCGAGCCGTGGAGATCTGCACTGATGTCCGAGGATGTGGGCACTAACAATGTGAAAATGCATATAACTAAGTAACGTGTAGCTGCTAAAAATGTCAGTGGTTACATGGAGGACAGCAGTCAGCTCCCCAGGAGCTGGTGAGCATGGAGTGTCCGCTTTTAAGCTGGCTCCCCTCTTGTACCGGCTCCTGCCTGCTGCCCCATGCTGCTGCCTCTGATACAGAGGCAGCAGCCCAGGGCAGAGATGGCTCCCCGGGAGCTGGTGCATGAATCGTGAGCCTGCATGTAACTGTGAACGTTAACCGAGGAGCCTGGTTAAGTGTTTGCACGGTTGCACTTTCACAGCCCTAGTGGATACCTGTGGATATAAAGTGGACATCTGCACATTTGCAGGGTTCTAGGCACAACATTTGAACCCGTGCCCATAGCCATGCAAATGAGCTGTGGATAGCCACAGATGCCCACAGATATAAAGCAGATCTCTGAGGATTTGCAGGGCTCCACCCACCATGAGAGCAAGCACCCGTCAAACATCTTCTGCTTTAACTGCCACCGTGTGTGCTGGGGAGAGTCAGGGCCTGTTTGCTCCGGAATGAGGATTGAGCAGTTCCGTAGCCCTTGGCTGTCCTTTTCAAACCTCCCAGCACTTCCAGGTGGGGCCAGTGCCTGCTTTGTTAAGGAGAGGCAGCCGCTGTCTGGTGGGGAGCCGAGCAGTAAAGCAGGCGGTGAACAAATGGCAGATTTTGTGGTGTTCCTGGGCCTGTGTGACATGAACAGGGCTCGGCTGAGCACTTGCCCAGCAACCCCCCCTACCCCCCCCGCGTTTTGGTAGTTTGGGCGGGGAGGTGAAGTGCCGAATGTGTCCCGGAGACTCCTCCGTTGGGCTTTGAGGGACTCTGGCTGAGGCGAGGACAGGACGGTGTGCTGGGCTGCCGCCTCTCCCCTTTGGTCTCCGGCGCCGCCCCTCGTGCGCCTTTCAGCAGGGGGAAAGCGACTAAGAAACTTGAGACAAAAACGGCAGCAGGGGAACAGAACTTTCAGCAGCAAGTGGTTCAGATGCCAAAATCAATTCGCTCACACGGGGCGGCCCTGCGGAGAAGGAGAGCGAGGGCAGGGGTCACCCAGCTGCTACACGGGAGCCATGTGGCCTGACTCCTCAGTGAATCCTAGCCCAGCCACCTTGGCCCAGAGGTTCCAGGTTGGGGGTGTGGCTAACGTCTGTTCTCCTGCTCCCCCTTTCTGGGGCGGAGGGGAGGGTGTTGGTGCCAGACTGAAACTGGGGAACAAGATCCCTGCTCCAGGCACAGGAACCTGTCCGTATGGGCTCAGAACGCGTTCACCCCGTTGGCCTGGCGGCACCGTCTCGCACGCAGCAGAGCCCCCACTCTCCTGTGGCTGGCAAGATCGGCCCAGGCATTTGCCTTTCTAGTCTCGTTTTGTCTCCTGCCAGTCATTTGGGGATTTGTAGCGGTTCCTTCCTGCTACTTAGTGCCTGGCTCCTCCCGAGAATGGAACTGATCCTGCTGCTTTGTGGGGTGTCCCAGAAAGCGCAATCGACTCTGTATTTGAGAGAGTCTGTCTGGGTATGTCTACACTACCACCCTAGTAGTGTAGACATACCCTCTGTCTGCTTGTTCAAGAACTCCTCCTAGACAGTAAGAGCTAGAACCGCCCAATTCGGTAGGCAGCTTCCTCTTGTCATAACGAACAGCCAGGTCAGGGTTTGGTTGTGACAGGAAAAATGGGACCGAATCACCAGGAAAGTGAAAGGTGCTGGCTGGGGGCACCTCCCCTCCCCCATTCCGGGATGACTCTTCTCCCCGTTACACCCCCCCCCCCCCCCGGATTCGTATGGGAACATTGCCGGCTGTTCCCCTTCATCAGGGAGTGAGCGGAAGTGCCCAGTTTGCTGCAGTCCTCACTGTGGCTGGGGAGCGCAGGGGACAGATGAACCTGGACCTGCCCCAGCCAGGGGACATGCACCCTCCCCCGGCTGCGCCCACTGGAGCTGCAGCGGCCACAGAGAGGTGCTTCTCACCGGGCCCTAAGCTGCTCAAGTGACAGAGGGCTGGGGTGGTCCTCTCTGATTGGGGCAGCTGCATCCTGAGCCCTATACCCATGATTCAAATGGAGAAAAGCCAAGATGGATGGAGCGAAGGACCCGAGCAACGCCGGGTAAATCTTCTTGTGCTGCAGAAGAAGAGAGGTGTTTGGGGAAGGCACAGGGGCGCCAGCTCGTCAGTTACAGCTTCTCCAAACTTTGGTTTTGATCAGAAAACTGTTCTCGATGGAAAATGGCCTTTCATGCGTCAAAGCGTTCTGCGCGCAGGTGGGTTTCATTGACATGTTTGGACTTTTTCCAGAAAAAATCCAAGTACAAACATTTTTGAATGAAAATGGAAAACTGAATCAAAACCATTTTTGGTTTAGTTTGGGAAATTTTTTATCCAAAATGAAAAATGTCTCGGGAGAAAACTGGAGTGAAACTTTGTGTGGTAACAAAATTGGATTTTTTTTTTAACCCTCTCTCCCTAAAACGAGTGGCCGTGTACCTGCCTGTGTCACTGAGCTGTAGCCCCCAGGTTTGAAAGTAGCCCCCGGCAAAGACACTGTGTTAACTCCAGGGCTAAGGATGCTGCCTCCAAGAAGGTCCCTTGTTTTTCTGACACACTGTGACAGTCACGGGCACGTGCTGTGGGCAAACGGGATAGCAAGAAGGGAGCAGCGCTGCACAAGTGTTCCCATGGAGCGACAGGAGGAAGAACCGCGGGCCCAGAAGGCCGCGTAGGAGAAAGCCAAGGGGGCACCTTTTAACCTACTTAGATGGCAAGTTCTTTGAGAGAGGGATTGTTTCTGTTGTGTGTGTTTGTACAGCACCAAGCACAGCGGGGCACCGGGTGCGTGTGCAATACCAACACCAATTCAGCCTGCCTCGGATTACTTGGCTGCTGTGTCAGGGTGCTGAAGGTCCCCTTTGGCATGCCAGCCGGGCTGGGACATCCCTACCTCCGATATCCCTTGATGGAAGGGGAGGCAGGGGTGTAAATGCCACGTCGGCTGCTTGGGTCTCTCAGTCCTGCCCCCCTTTCTGTAGTCTCTGATCTAGGGAATGAAACCAGTGTTTCCTGCAGTGTGTCCAAGTCCCCATACTGCGGTGTCCTCACCTTCAGAAGCACTGAGCCCCGCCACCTCCAGTGAGTTAGTGGGAATTGGGTGGGGCTCACAGCTCGGAAGATCAGGCCAGCGGGTTCAGGGTCAGATTAATTCTTCTGGGAGCTCAGGGCTGTTACATTTGTGGGAGGGCCCTGGGCTCTGGGGTGGTGCCAGAAATGAGGGGTTCAGAGAGCAGGAGGGGGCTGCGAGTTGAACCGGGGGAGGGGGATTACGGGAGGGGGCAAGGGCTCTGGTGTGGGGCTGGGGGATGTGGCGTCTGGGATGCAGGAGGGGGCTCCCAGCTAGGGCCAAGGGATTTGGAGTGTGGAAGGGGCCTCAGGACAGGAGGTGGGGGTGGGGTGCAGGGTTAGGTGGGGGGGAGGGGCTCAGAGCTGGGCTGAGGGTGGGCGTGTGGGTCTGGGGGGAGTTAGGGGCTTAGAATGCAGGAGGAGCTCAGGGCCACGGCAGGAGGGTGGGTGCAGGGCGCTTTCCTGGGGAAGCTCCCCTTGGTGGCTCGGCAGGAGCTGCACTGCCCTGCACTTGCCTACAGTCGCCACAGCCCCCGCCCCCGCCCCCCTGCCTCCAGGGCTTCCCGGCCAATGGGAGGTGTGGGGATGGAGCCTGCACATGAGGGCAGCGTGGGGATGGTGCCTGCCCAATGTGGGGGACAGTAGCATGTGGAGCCACCTCCCCACTGCCTGCAGGGCCCTAATGGCTGCAGCCCAGGGGCCTCGCAAAACGATCTGCACGTCTGGCGGCTCGGAGATCTTTTTACTGAGCCCCCCTTCTTAATCCGCCCCTCAGTGGGTTACAGCAGACCTGCCGCATGGCCCAGGGAAGTCTCAGAGCAGGGACAGCCTGAGGAATTGCAGCAACACGCTGTGAACCACCCAGTCCACTGGCACCCCCACTAGGGGCCAGAGTCGTGTGCTTCCTCCCAGTGATGCTGAGAACTCCGCCCATGAGCTGCTGATGGAGAAAGCCCCGAGCGTGGAGGTCTCCCAGTCATACCCGTCTGACTCAGGACACAGCAGGAAGTTCTATGGAGCTAATTGTGCCAAAGGAGCTGCTGGATGCAGAGAAGGGGCCAAGGATGCATAGGCCCATTGCTCAGTGAGGAGGGAGAAACAAGAACAGGAAACGTGGAAATAGCAGAGGTGCTTAACGACTTCTTTCTTTCCGTTTTCACCAAGAAGTTAGATGGTAATGGATGCCCAACGTAGTGAAGGCTTATGGAAATGGAGCAGCTTTAGAAGTTAAAATAAAAAAA